TTTCCTCTATACATTTTCTAAACTTGGGTATATTTACCCTGTTGGCACTGTTATCAGGACCCAACCATTTAGGAAGAAAGTCAGCAGCTTCTATTAATAAGAATTCACCATCATTGTCTTCAACCCTAAAGAAAGAGAACATCCAATTTTGCATTCAAAAAGCATGTATTCCTTTTGTTCTAATACATTTTCTCTGCTTAGTAAATGTTTGAGTATATACTATGTACAGATTGCTATAAGGAAAAAAAAAGTTTAAGAACCATTAAACACTAAAGGAGACTATAAGATGATAATGAGGAACGAGAGAGTTAAGGAGAGAAAATAAGTATATAAATAATATTAGACAAAACAATGGCAATACATATAGGTAGTGTAAGGGTTCTATAAGAAGAGGAAAAAATACACAAACAGCTGAAATTAGGAAAGTCTTTATGTAGAAAGTGTTATTTGGGCCTTGAAAGATATTTTTTGCCTTAATTTTTTTACTTACATTTTTAGGATAATACATTAACATGGTCAAAAAATTTTGAATTATATAAAAAGTTAGACTGAAAATGTCTTCCTCCTACTTTTGTCCCTATGTGTACAATTTTGACCCTCCTTACTGCTATTTCTTGCTTATACATGATCTAGTGAACAAGAATGTGTGCACACACACACACACACACACACACACGTATATATTCTTATTCCCCCTCCCCCCCACCCTTTTTTTTGGGTTTTTTTTTTTTTTTTGAGTTTCTCACTATGAAACTCAGGCTGGCCTCAAATTTATGATCCTCTTGCTTCTTCAGCCTCCCCAATGCTGGGATTATGGCATGTGCCACCATGCCTGACTGTTTTTTTCACTTTCAATGGGTAGAGATGTAAGGGAGATATGTTTTTGGGAGGGAATACCAGAAGCAATCCATGGAGGTGGCAACTTAAGTTAGCTATGTGCAGAATGACAACTAGTAAGAACAAGACTAGAAAAGCAGTTATGTCATTTTGAGAATATTTTGAAAACTTTGAGAATCAATGAGACATGCTTTATTTCATGGGCAAAAAAATTAAAGGTTTTAAAGAGCAGGACAGTAAAAATGGTTAGAGCTTCACTTTAGGAAGATTATTCTGGCACAGAGATAAAGTGTTTCTTTCTTTAAAAAAATTTTTTTTCCTTAAAAAACAAAGCTGAGCTAGGCACCAGTGGCTCACATCTGTAATCCTAGCTACTTGTGAAGCTAAGATCAGGAGGATATCAGTTCAAGGTTAGCCCAGGCAAATAACTCAGGAGACCCCATTTCCAAAATAACCAGAGTAAAATGGACTGGAGGTGTGGCTCAAGCAGTACAGCTTGCTTTGCAAGCATGAAGCCCTAAGTTCAAATCCTGGCCCACCAAAACCAAAACAAAACCAAAACAAAAAAACCTGATAATATAGTAAGTGCCCAGAATTTAAAGAACTTTATATATCTGCTGTGTAAGTATGATGATAATTTTATGTATATAATGATGTATTATTTACAAAAGGTTTTGTCCCTCTTTGCCATTACTGGTATTTGAACTCAGGCCTCACACTTGCTAGATAGGTGGTCTACCTCAATACTTGAGCCACTCCACCACCCCTAAAAGTAATGTGGTTTTTTTGTTTTGGTTTGGTTTTTTGGTGGCACTGGAGTTTGAACTCCAGCCTCACGCTTGCTAGGCAGGCACTCTACCACTTGGGCCATTCTGCCAGCCCTTGCCCCTCTTTATTATCCCTGTAAAGATATAAATTAGTTTCTTTGCTTGTTTGTTGGGCAGCATTGAGGTTTGAACTCAAGGCCTTCCACTTGCTAGGCAAGCACTCTACCAATTGAGCCACACCTCCAGTCTGTTTTTGCTTTTAGGTTATTTTTTCAGATAGGGTCTTATGTTTTGCCCTGGGACAACCTCAGAACACATTTCCATCTCTGGCCTCCAAGTAGCAGGGATCACAGGTGCTTGCCACCATACCTGATTTATTTGTTGAGAAGGGTTCTTGCTAATTTTTTGACTGGGTTGGTCTTGAACTTCAATCCTCCCAACTAGCTGGGATTACAGATGGGGCATAAACTCATTTTTGTTTTAGTGGCAGCACTGGGGTTTGAACTCAGGCCTCATGCTTGCTAGGCAAGAGCTCATACCATTCGAGTCACTCCACCAACCATTTTACATTGGGTATTATCAAGGATAGCGTCTTACGAACTATTTGCCAGGACTGGCCTCGAACTGTGATCCTCCTGATTTTTGCCTCCTGAGTCCCTAGGATTACAGGTGTAAGCCACCAGCACCTGGCCAAGATTTCTTAATTTTAATTGTAATTAAAGAATGTTTTCCATGTTAAAAAATAAAAAATAAATATTCAAAAATTAAAAATAAGCTGGGCATAGTGGTAAACACCTGAAGTCAAAGCTACCTGGGAGGCTGAGGCAGAAAGGACCACTTGAGTCCTATTAGGTCCAGACCAGCCTGGGAAACAGAGCAAGATGCCATCTCAAATAAATAAATAAATAATACGATTTTTATCAATAAGATTTATACCCGAATTATTTAAAGGTCAAATAGCATAGAATTGGGATTTGCTTTGAAATATTCTTCTGTGTGATGAAAGTAGGGGAAGGGGTATGGATGAAATTAATAGTGGACTATCAGTTGATTACATGTTGAAGCTAGATTGATGGGCACATATGTGTTCACTCTCTCTACTCATATGTTTAAACTGAAATAATAAAAAAGTTTACAAAAATTTTCCCCCTTTTCTTTTGTTCTGCTGGGGAGAAGTTTAGTGTGTATAAGATCAGATTTTAGGGGCCTGAGTAGGAAAGTAGGGGGAAAAAAATGAGTGAGTGGGTCACCCTGTTTACACAATTAGGTAATTATAGAAAACTACCCTTTTAAAAGACCGTATTAGAATGCTTCCTATACTGATTTCTCTTTAAATTTATTCTATGTGATTTCTTAAAAAATACAGTAATGGCCTAGAAGAGAGACATAAAAGTTTCCTGCTTCTACCCCCTGCACTTCAGAGATATTTCATTTCTCCATTTTCATTCCCCTGGCTTAAGCCCTGCTTTACTAAATAAACACTGGTATCTCACAATAAAAAAAAAAATCTGTTGAACATATTTATATGTACTTTTTTTTAAAGATCCACAAGAAAATTTATGGGACTATTTTAAAAAATCATTTATTTTTTAAAAAAAGGAAGGAAGAAGGGAGGGAGTAAGGAAAGGAAGGAAGGAAGGAAGGAATGGCAAACCAAATGGTAATTACTTCTGGAACCAGAGCAGTACAAATTTGTACTGTTTTAATTTTTGTTTACCATGTATATTTTTTCTTTTTAATTAGGATTTAAAAAACAAAAACCTAAAAGAAGTCATAAGAGAGAAAAAGAAATATTAGTCACTTGTTAAATGCGTCCCAAATTTTGAACAATTTGCACCGGACCACAGAAATAAAAATTACTACATGGAATAAAAATGTTAATTACTTAAATTTAAAAAAACACAATTTCCTTTAGAATAATTAAAATTGACAATACCTTGCTACTAACTCTGGAAAGCCTGTTGTAATCGGCTTCACTACATAAACATTAAACCAGTCATCCTCAATGCTATCCCCCCAAACTTTGTAGCCATATATATGAGCAGGAACACCCCCTGCAAACAAGAGAAAAGTAACCATATAAGCAAATAAGGGTTTGTCACCACAAGAATAATACATGTAAACCATATCAAAGTAAAACAAACATTCATTGACTGACTATGATCCAAGTACTATTCTGGGAACTTATGGTTGTAAGTTCTGAAACAAAGATAACACGATGACTATTCTTGAAGAATTTTAAGAGTCTAAAACTGAGACAGACAAAACCAAACCACTCAAAAACAAGATGATAGTTACCACTACAACAAAAAGGCTACACTAAAGGCTATGTGAGCATAAAGGAGCCCCTGGGGGATGTCTGGAGAAATTGACCAAGAGGTGGACTTTCCAAAAAAGAGGAAAAGCATTTTTTGTGTAAAGGCACAGAGGCATGATAGGGCACTATCGTATTCTGGAATATCAGGAAAGCTGGGATTTAAGAAGACCAGAAAGTTTCAAAACAAGGGCACTTCTCACAAATGCATGGAAATTAAAAAACTTTGAAACACACATCTGAAAGAGGAAATCACAAGAGAAAATGGAAAATATCTGGAAAATTGGAAAGTACAAATATACCATGATGTGTTGGGAGTCAGTAAAAGCAATGGGTCAAGACAAAGGCTTGTTAGCTGTGCAAGGTCTCAAATCAGCGAAAGAAGTGGGGAAGAGGCGGTGCAAGGGCATCAGAAAATGAAAAACAAACTTAAACCTAAATTCTAAGTAAAAGAAAGGAAATAATAAAGACTAGTAGAGATAAATAAAATACATTTAATGAAAAAAACCCAACATACTAAGGTTTTTCATTTTTTTTAAAAGTATCAACAAAAATGCATTAACCATTAATAGAATAAAAGAGAGAAGGACTCTAAAATCGAAATAAAATAGGGGGCATTACAACCAATTGCTACAGAAATAAAAGGCATTCTAAAAGAGAATACTATGAACAAGCTGCATACAAACAAATACTATAATCTTTAAGTGGATTTATAAAATTCTTTAAAAAATACACCAGGGCTAATCCAGGTCTAAACTGGATCATGGATTAGAAAATTTTGAAG